AGACAATCACTCATATGATAAGCTTTGCTCGACAAAGTCGACAGCGGAGCTAAAAAATAATGATGACTAGCATCTCAAAAATCTACGTTCCGTACTTACATAGTATTCGCCAAAAACAGGTGGCTTGAAAACACTCTGGAAAGGAGGAGTATCGAACAACTTTCTAACCTCCGCTGAGCACTGTGTAGTATTACTACTGCCATTTATAGTGAAAGTAATGTTACTGAGGTCAATATTGAGGTCATTAGGCATAACAACCTCTGATCCCCAGGCAGACAAGGCTTCATCACCATGACTACAGTATGCATCAAAAAGATAAGCAGCTGTTCGGTGTTCTGAGTAACCAATTGGAGCGCAGGGATTGATAACAGTGTGCGTGTAGTTGGAATCCTATATTGATGATAAAAATGAATGTAATGAAGACTTTGGCATTATAAAACTGACATACCATCCCCGGTTAAAAAACGTAATCATTCTATTATTTGAATAAATAAATTATTATTTTGCAGGTCGTTAAATAGTCAGAAAAAATTTAAATTATTATTTTTGAGGGGTTTAAATTATCTTTTAGGGTTTTAATCAGTGGTAACATTATTGTAGACTTAAAGATGCCTACAGAGGTCATTAGAAAAAGAAAAAGTATGAAAACACAGAAAAACTCAAAAATGTAACTAATTTTATTTATTGCCCATAAGAAACATCGAGCTGGATTGGTAGCAACTATTGTGGTTATTTTCTACGAGGTGATTGAATTGCTAGAGGAAAATAAAAAATATTTTTTTTTAGTAGATTGTCCAGCTATATAAGGATTATGGTATGTCAGTAGAACGTGTATCCTATACAACAATATGTATTGATATCGATATAAGTATGTTGTAAATTGACTCAATATATTATTATGCATCTGATAAATTTACCCGTTCAAAAAAACAGGCTGCTATATATAAAAATATTTATTTTTATAATGCAGTACATAAGGAGGCTTGCTCATAAACACTACATACCTTTACAAGATTTGCTAAAAATCGTCTTTCGGCTTCCCTGACGCCATAACATAGGTAGCTATGGGTGTACACGTGATAGTCCTCTCCATAAAGTTTTAGGTATCTCTGGTCTTCAATTGGTACAACAGTGGTATCTTCAGGTATGAATGTCATCTGTGTTGAGGCACCCCCCATGTCAATAGCCCCCACGGTATGCTTTTCTGTGGAAGTCCAGAATATGGAAGACAGAGAGGCTGGGACCTAGAAATCAGAATAATCAGTTAGTGAAATGTACATATTTATCATGAAATGCGCTTCAAAGTGGGAGGATTGTCACCTGAATTGAGTCCCAAGCGACGATAACAACACACGCTAAAAACGCAAAGATGCATGGGTAGACGCTTGTTTGTAAACAATGATACGCTATGGCCATCTTTAAGTAGATCAATAGCCATTCACTGTGATGATCAAAGTACTAGTAATAGAATAGAATAGAATAGAATAGAATAGAATAGAATAGAATAGAATAGAATAGAATAGAATAGAATAGAATAGAATAGAATACTTTCTGGTATGATAAGTTGAGATGTGGCTTATTCAGACGGTACATTTACACTTCAAAATGTAGCTCCTGGTAATTTAGCAAAAAGCCTGCTCTCACTCTTGTCTCACTGTCACTGTCACTCTCAATGAGATCTTTTTGGGCATTTTTGTTTTGCATAATTCAAGTTTTAAATTTGCTAAAATGGCAGGAAGTTATTTCACAGCGTGATCTACTCAGATGATAATATGTTAACTCACCTCTACAAAGTTACCCAGTAAATAGTTGACTGTCACCCATGAGAATGAGCCTTCAGATTCACCGCTTATGATACTAACATTAGTGACATTAAATGGATATTGCTCAAGACTGGTCCACACTGAGGATATTATCGCATCACTAACATTCTTATCCTCTTTTCTGAAAAAGGAAAAATTAATAAATCAATATCGTTATGTTTAATTAATGACAAATTCAGGACTTTGGCAAAATTGCATAATTTATTTATATTATTTACATAATGTTTTCATAGTATTTTCATAGTTAATTCATAGTATTTGCATAATTAATTCATAGTAGTTTGCATAATTTATTCATAGTAGTTTGCATAATTTATTCATATTAGCATAATTAATTCATAGTGTTTGCATCATATTTTCATAGTAGTTTGCATAATTTATTCATAATATTAGCATAATTTATTAATAGTTTTTGCATAATTAATTCATAGTTTTCACATAATTAATTCAGTGTTTGAATAATTTATTCATAGTGTTTCCATAATTTATTCATAGTTTTTGCATAATTTATTCATAGTGTTTGCATAATTTATTCAAAGTTTTCGCATAATTTATTCATAGTGTTTCCATAATTTATTCATAGTTTTCGCATAATTTATTCATAGTGTTTGCATAATTATTCATAGTTTTCGCATAATTTATTCATAGTGTTTGCATAATTTATTCCTAGTTTTTGCATAATTAATTCATAGTGTTTGCATAATTTATTCATACTTTTCGCATAATTAATTCATAGTGTTTGCATAATTTATTCATACTTTTTGCTGAATTAATTCATATTATCAACACATGTAGTGCCCTATTTTTTTTTTGGTGAAATAAATTTCTGGTGTAGCAATAACCTGCTTTTTTGTGTCCCAAAACAGATAGAGGCATTACCATAGTTTAAATTTTAGAAGAAACAGTAATAGTTTTCTTGGCCCAGTGTTCAGATTTACTTGATTTGGGCAATAAAGTAATATCTGGCAATTCCTAATTTTCGAGTTGTTAGTTTACTACGGAATTCCGCTAGAGGGCGCATCCAAAATACCCGGATGACGAGCCTGAGTGGGTTTGTTTTTATTGAAGTTTTGTATTCTTACATGCGTAAATCAATAGATTGGAAAAGCAAAAAAGTTCCAGAACTCCGCAAATTTCATTAGGATCGTGGTATAACTTGCAGCAATGTTCGTAAAGCTAAACTTTTTGAACTTGTTGAGTTAGCAAACGAGTTAAATGTTCGCCAAGAGTCAAACAATTCGTCGTCGTACTGTAACACAGTGAGTCGACGATAACTCTGGTAGATCTGTGTAACGTAAAAACTTGGCAAAAAACCTTCATACTTTGCTTTTGTTTGAAATAGCTGATATGTTCGCATATTTGTTGCATCGAAGTGATTGGACAACAGCCAGACTGAAAGAATATCGACTTGATAATGGTTATTTACTTTCTGTAAAGCTTCATCATGTGCAGAATACATAATTTATTTTCACTATGGCAAAGTGTATTCGGCAATCATCCATGAAGGAAAATCCTTACTAGTTTCTGGTGTTTGTAACTGTGTAGTGTGAGTTTGATTTAATATGATCCACCAGGCGATCAGCAGATGCAGTTATCATAAATGGACACACGTTTTTCCTTCCGTAGTTATTTTAACTTCAACTTCGAAACAAATGCTATCATAAGGATTCTGAACAAGAAGATCGATGTGGGAATCGGCAACGAGCGAAATTTCCATCAAATCCGGCTCAATGTTTTCGTTTGCGCTCGTCTCAGGAAGCTGACAGAGTCTTCATTTTTCAATCGATGTATAACTGCGGTTGAAAGACGGTTGTCTCCAGTTATTGAACTAAAATACTGGCGCAGGATGGAAAATGCCGTGAACAAACCCAGGAATATAGTTTGGCGTCCACTCAGGTTCCCGACAACGCATTCGAATCCACTGGCGTTGAGTATATTGCTTACAGCAGACGCCACTCAAATTTCAACCCCACCACGAACGTTGAATGGACTGTCATCCGGGTACTTTGAGAACGCCCTCTATCGAATTTCGTGAGAAAAATAGTAACTCGGAAATTAGGAATTGTTATTGTTATTGCCAAAGATCTAATAGATAGCGGCCAGATTTCAGTATGCTTTGCACATAAGAGTAACAAAGTAAAGACTTTTATTATAATTTTAGACAATCAGAAGGCCAGAATAACTTTGGTGCGCATTTCCAATTTTTCTTTTTTTTAATTTATTTGCACAACTTTGCACCAATTAATCCGCTTCTTTCACAAATTCATTTTAATATATCATGGCATCTCAGGGTTTGCTAAGAATTGCACAAAACAGAAGTAAACCTGACACGAATAATAACTAGTGGTAATTTATTCATAAATTCTGATGTCACGAATCACACAAAGCCACACAGGATAAAAGCTAGACACAGTTGTTTTCCTAGTTTGCTAAATTTTTAATAATAACAGACAGAAATAGAAAAAATAAAACACATTTTCATGAAAAACAAGAATATGCTCACAAATGTTGAGAAACACAAGTTTCATTAATGTACAATTAGAGCTAATTAAAGGCATGTACAGTCAAACCTCATGGGACTTCATTAAAATGGTCTTTATAGACAGGGTGGTCTTTATAGACAGGGTGGTCTTTATATGGAGGTTGGAATACTTTTTAGGGATCACCAATTCATACTTTTAGATGTTGCTATTGCCATAAAAATTTGTGTTGTTCAAAGTTTAATAAGTTTGACTTGAGGAAATTAAAAATAGTTTTCTAAAGAGAAAGTTGATTATTATTATTTTAGTCTCTGAACAAATCTGTAAAAATTTTGCTGGAAGGATGGTCACATAAGACAGGTGTTCTTTATAAACAGGTTGCTAATACAATTACAGTGGTCACTATTGGCAGGTGGTCTTTATACAGACGTTAGCACAGGTATGACTGTATAACACGGGTATTTTATTGTGAGGCAGATTTAGCCATATGTATGTTTGAAAATAAATAACTTCTAACCCAGAGGTCATTCTTAAGTCACACGACCTCTTATCAGGTCAGGTGATTTATGTGATTGTGAGGTGATTAGAATAGAGTTTTCATTGTATCCATGATTTATCAACCATTTAATAAACGTTAGAGATAAATAGGGATGAATATATATCAGTGTTTTGGTGTACCTTGTGAATATAAATGTGTACTCATGCAAAATTTGGTGGTGAAGATTCAGTCATAATAGGCATATAAAACACAGTATTTAGGGGAAGAGAGGAGGTACAAATATGCAAATCATGCAATTGTTATTCATAATTTGAGAACAATTAGTAAGTTTGTATTGATATCACACATTGTGTGAGATTTAAAATATTTATTTAAATACTTGTATCTAATTTTCAAAAATTATCTATATTGTTAAACTAGTTGACAGTTTGACAGCTGTAGTTACTGGTATGGAAGAACTATATTATTAAAAGTTTGGTTGTTTTTCTTGGGAGGATATGGATTATTGGGAACCAATTTTGATCATTTTTTTTTTCTTTTTATCATGTTTTAAAGAAGAAAGTATATGAATGATGAAAATTTTGTAAAACCCAGAAATCACTTAAAATGACAAAGCTTAATGTTCTCTTTGTTTAAACTGATTATAAATTTCAAAACTTTTTTTTTTGTGCCAGGCGACATTAAATGTCACTGTTGTCTCTCCTTTTGTATGTCTTTTGTATGTGCAAATTGCAAGTGCTAGTGCTGACACATAGTGCATTTTTGTCACAGAAGTCATATTCATGTTTGAAACTACATGACAGGGCTGTGCTGCCATCTTCCTATCAAATGGCAATTGAATGCACTATCCTGGCGTCAACCAGGCTTGGTCGAACACAAGCACCTGCGGACCTTAACCAAGGTTCCCCCAAAGTCGCATCCGTTAGTGAATGAATCTCAGCCAGTGGAATTGGCCATCCCATTGAGTCTGTGGCACACTCACCCAGGGTAGGGGTTGACCCTTTTGATGTTCAGCCTAAGGAAGGATTTGAACTTGGGTCTACCGATCATGAGTCTGGTGCGGGAAACTTTTGTGTTCATAAGTGGGGTCACTCACAATATAGAAGTAGGTTTTTATCAAAAAATGGCAGTTGAGTTTGACATAATGTGCAGAATTACATGATTCCAATGCTCAACAATCATACCAAACCATAACTATCTTTTACAATTTTTTTTTCAAAACATGATTCTATTTTCGGCTTACGCAACAAATGAAATGAGGTGGATTAATTTTGGTTGATAATAGTTAATACTTGTTAATCAACTACTTACTCTAACAATCGCATACCAGCTGTAGCACCTAACATGATAGGTGTTTGTGAATATTCATCTTTTGGCACTGCTGACATGGCTGTCTTCTCTATGCATGGCTCCAAAGACTTGCCTGCATCTTGTGGATTATCTAAATAACTTGAAAGACCGCCACCTAGAGGCAAGTAACAGAGATGTTAGAAAAAAAGAACAGTACATATGATTATAAAAGTGTGACCCCTTTCGTTCGGTTGTCATAGAGACAAAACTATTTTTAATGTTGTGACACACTTATATGTAGATTTTTTAAATTTATAAATATTTTGGACGGGATATCTTGATATATTTTCACAGTTCTTCTATCAGATAGAAAGATTATGATACTGTAAATAATCAGAAAAAATCTCGTGGCCTTGATAATTTTTAATTAGACCAACTATATAAACAACATTTTACAGCTTTTTTTAATACCGCAGTGAAGGAGTGGGAGATAACCGTAAAACAACTAAATAAAAAATGGAAACAAGTGATTATACTTAAACTCTAAATGCAAATCTACATTTGGACACAAGACTTGGTGCCAGATTTTTTCCCGCCTAAATTTATGTCTTTACATGGACATAGTTACAGGTCTTCCTAAATTTGTTTTTTTAAATTATGCAGCTGTATTTTGTGGGGTAAAAAAATTAAATTGTATTAGTTGCCCGTAAAATTCAGGATAGAGTTCAATATTATTTTTCTAGTATTTAAGGTACTCAGGAGGTAGACATCAGTCTATCAGTAACTTATGTCACTCTAATCAGATGCTGTTGGTCAAATTAGACAATATGCGATGATAGGCAGTCTTCTGTAGCTGCCTCAAATTATGGAATGACCTATCATATTGCCGTCAAGCAAGTACAATTATTAATCATTTTAACACTTTGATCACCATTGTCAAATTTTGGCACCATCTACAAAAAATTATTTTCTACAGTCTGTTCTTGACATAAAATCTTAAACTTTTGATCAAAAGACCAAAAGCTACTTCGGAAATAGTCTGCGTAGTCCGAAATTATGATGAAATTTAGTGACAATTTTACGAAATATGAAAATATTTGCACTGAATTTGGGGCAGGGAGAATATCTGGCAGTCTAAGGGTTAAGCTGAATCTCCAGACAATTATTCCAGAAAGTTTTCAATCTCTGAAAATGTATTATTTATAACTGTTCTTGAATTACTGATAATATTTTTATTATTATTTCTGTATTTGAAGTTATATTCTGTTGTACCATGAAGTAAAAAGTATTATTCAAAAAATTATTTTTATGCACCGATCAATAAAATCACCAGACATTTGGCATAAAAAATAACTATGATAATAACTATGCCATCAGAGGACACAGTATGTTAAATAAAATAAAATAAAATAAAATACAAATCACAAAAAATACAACAGCTAAATAGATTAAACTATGATAAGATAAAAAATAAATTTAAGAGATAAAAAATAGTCTGTGCAGCTTCCTTCAACTTTGTTTAATCATCATTACTCATCTAGTTTGTAAAACAGACCTAGAGCACAGAACATGGAGCACATGGGCCCATAAAATTTCCATTTGTCAAGTGACAATAGTTTATTTTGGTGCGTGATGGGGTCAAAGGTGAGTGAGGAGGCATGGTACACAGGTGGGAAAATAGAGCGCCCTCACACAACAATTAGAATATATTACTTTTCTCTTACATCCAGCATGCCAGAGTTCAAGTACATTCATGTCATGGTTCATGTCTCAGTAAAAAAAAAACATACTTTGGAATACCTGACTAGACATCTGACCATTCTTTATAAAGATATTTACTTTATTTATAAAGAAATATGGTAATGAGCAAAATAATGTTGACATGGGTGGCATTTAATTTTTTGAATGTTAATTTGACCTTCACAGACCCCCCCCCCCCATTAATTACTGCCACATCTATTCACTATACTGATTGATTAGCTCCAAGGTCATAGGTCAATCTCAATAAGTTATGTTCACAATGAAAAGGTGACAACCAAGTTTAGTGCACATCACTTACAGGTCTAGCTTCTTACAGTACTGTGAAATACTTTATTTTAGCTGGAATAAATTTTCACTGAAAAGGCTTTTTGGGTGTTTTGTATGGAATTTATTTTCACTGATTTTTATGAGTTGAATGTGAAATATAGGAAAAATAGTATATTCGCTGGATTTTATTTTCACAAAATCAACCTTTCAGTGAAAATAGCAAAAATAGCGAAAATAAATTCCAAGCAAAAATAAAGTATTCTACAGTATTACCAGTATGCTTTCCCATTGGTATAATCAAATTTCATGACCATGTTTTTTTCTGCATAATTTCATGTATGTTTGTTTTTTTAATTTAATTGTTAATTTTAGGCCAAATTTCCCATTAGTTGCGGGTCTGGATCAAAATTTTTCAAAAATAATGCAGGTTTATCATGTGAAAAGATTCAGAAGTTGACTTTGTATGCTACTCAAATGATTCTACAAACAATGAGAATTTTAGTCAAAAAACTCAAGACAGTTTTTTTATTTGTCTGTAGCACCATTATAAAAATCAGTTGTTGCTATGGTAATGTTTTAAGTTAAAATATACTGCTTGGTATTTTATGGTTCATTGACTATTAGCAATGGAGCTTTTATACTGGACATGAAATGACACTGATAATCCACTACAGTGTTATTCAATAAACCCAGAATAGATCACTTGATCCATGAAGCTACATTTTTAATCACAACTAAAATAAAATCAAAAAAAAAAATCAGATACTTGAAAAAAAAAATTAATAGTATTAAATGGATGTATTTTGTATATGAAGGACATGACACAGTGTTGGTGAATTGTGATTTTGAATAATAGGAAAAATCTACAATTGGGTTGAAATCACAGTGAATAATGTGTATTTGTTGTTGGGAACACTCCCCAGTTAAAAAAGGAGGTGCTTGAAAGAAGTTAAAAGAACAATCACATGTTGTCCCCCAGGCTATTTGCACAAATACTGGTCACCGTAATGTCCATCATAGACCTGGCTGTTAATTGTAATGCAAATGAACTGAATGAAATTGACACACATCATTAAGTATCAACTCCAAAGTTTCATATAACTGAGAGGTGGCCTTGGAATTTTGGTAGCCTTTTTTTTTTCAATCACTGGTGTCTCAGAAAGTAGGTCACCTAAGAATGCAAGGTGCATGATGAGTTATTGCAAAAATGTGAACTGAAGAAAGTAAGCAGATGCAGTTAACTGGGGAACTATTCACAAGATTTGTTTTTCAAATTTGAATAATTCTACAGCAAATATAAACATAATTAACTTGCACTCTCAAAATTAAAATAATAAAGGCTGACATTATCACAAAAAGATATTGGTGTAAGTGATGTCCCTCAAACATAACTGACAACCAGACAAAATAAATGTCGGCTCAATTTACAATATTATCTGATTCATTTATTAAGTTTCTCATATATTGTACACTGGGTGGATGCACAAATGCATTGTGGGTAGCCAACCCACAATGATGGTTAAATTATTGCTCCATAGCAGGGCAAAGCATAAAAGCAAATTTGAAAAAGTAAGATGAGTACTGCAGGAATGGATGTGAAAAAATGTTTTGTTTTTCAAAAAACAATACATAGATATTATTTATGTCTACGAATATGTTATGGTTACAAAAAGAAAACATCAGATCAATAAAAACTATCTCAATATGTGACAATCATGACATCAAAAATGCAATGTAAAACCTAACAGAAAAGTTTAAAAATATGTGACAAATGTTATTTAAATCATCAAAAATTACAAACATGCAATTCTGGTTTCCATTATAATTTGTAATAATTTTTAGAAGATCATATTTCTATCAGTCAGCAAAAAACAAAGTATGCGAAACCAGAAAAATTGAAATCTGAACTAAACTTCATGTCTTGAAAATCACAACTTATTAAATTTACATCAGAACACCCTTAGCACAATTATTAAAGAGTTTATGGCATCACCTTGTAAACCAATAAACAAATATATCATAATATCATTGTCAGATGTTTTGTTTTTAAACAGCCTGTAATAGTAATTATCATTTCAAAAGCCACCATATGTTTTTCAAAAACAGGACCTTAGGCAATGAAAAATCCATCATATCTATTTAGTCAGAAATTAACAAAGAAATTATAGAAAAATATCTAAAAGTGCTGAAAATGTCAACATTTTGGCATGATGACACTCTAAACCCAAGTGATGTATTGACACTTTGTAACAATGTATTTATTGACTTATAACAACCTACTGGAGGAGATTAAAAGTTACAAAAGAAAATTACAAATAAAAATTAATCTAATTACAATGGCTAAGAG